TAGAAGTAGTTATAGTAGAAGGAGAGCGTATAAAAGACTGATTAAGAGCATTAACATCATAAGAGGGAAAAACATTGCATTGCTTATTATTAGCAGTAATTTCATTGAAAAGTTTTCACATGTTGATAGGAGATTTGGATCTTATCTTAATTTATTTTTGGATAAGTTAAGACTTAAAAAGATTATAATAATAACTCTTTAGTTATTACTGCCATATAGATGCAGACCCTGCTAACTGATTTATCAAAAAGAATATTCCTCATTCACTAATCAGTTTTTTGATTACAAATGTAAATATAAGTGTAACCATATGTTTTACCATACTGAAGGCCAGTGGTAATGTTGTGGTGAGAGCTATCTGTCTGCCATCCAAAATCGGTAGACAGCAATTTACGTCAATGTTCACGTCCCAAATCTTGGTTATGAGAAAAACAATAACAAAGACTTTACGTGGGCGGATACGATTCGCAGATATATACGGTCAGACCTTCAAAGAAACGGTAACATAGAGGGATGACAGAATAACCTTCAGTAGGAAAACAACCAATCAGAACACACTGTTTCCCTACTAACAATAACCTATAATAATGTACATAAAAATCCATAAATATCTGTTGATTTTCTCGACAAACGATCAGTTAAGTGACCCTTGTCTTCTGTCATTACATTATGACACTGCATAGGAAATTTCGTGTTAAGTAACACGAAATAAATTTTGCAGTTAATACCAGAGAGGACATAGTTAATCGAAAATAGCTACCCTGAAAAGTTCATCACCAAAACACATGACCAATAAAATAAAAAAGAATTCCTCTCTATCCATTAGTAAGAAGTCTCTATGTATTGGACTACAATTCAAAGGTGGTGTACCAAGTAAAATAAAAACCAACAAGTTAAGAAAATCGATTCAAAGAACGTTTTAATGCGGGTAAATTACAGCTTATATTTTCCACACAACTCGTCAAGATGAAGTAGCTAATAGGTTAGCCACCTCTAATTGTATCTATCAGTCCAAATGCTTCTGTGAAGCCAGTTATATTGGCAGTTGCTTTAGGAACTTAATTCTCCGTACTAGCTCGGGAACACCTACCAGTATGGTTAAATATGGGTGTTGTTGAGACCGTCAAAAGTTCCATATTAAACCACCTCGTGAAAACATGCCACAAAAAGTTATAAGTGAAGAATCCTACTCTATCATCTAGCAGGTATCATATAAATTACTAAAAGCCTCTAGATATTGAATGCTTTAAACTTCAATTAGTTTAAATCAACCGGAGGTCTGTGCGCAACAGGGGCAGGTCTAACCCCTGTCCCCACCTTGGTCTGCTGTCCAGTCCATCAATTCTGTGTTACTTCCTTTAATTTGTCCATTATTTAGTGTTATACTAATGCATATTATCTTTCCCTCTCTTACGGATGCTTTTGAAATAAAATCTGTCGATACTACTGATGCAATGTAACTGAAAACAGGAATTCAGTTATACCTCACATCTACTGTCTTTAAATTCCAAGGTAAAATACATGGAAAAATAGATGGTGTACCGATGGAATGGATCACCAATATCCCTTATCGTAGCAGACATATTTATGGACAGCTGGGAAAATATTGCTCCGAATACATTTAATCCTACTCCAAAGATAATATGGAGGAGATATGTGGATGACACTTTCACAGTATTAAAAACAGAACATATCTCTAGCTTCTTGACACATATAAACTCACTAGTAGAGGGAATAAAATCCACATTCGATTAGGAAAGTGAATGAGTAGAATTAGCTATGTTAGATCGTAAAATAAAACGAACAGAAGAACGTGAACCGCACACTAAAGTTTATAAAAAGCCAACGCATTCTAATAGATATTTAGACTTTAATTCATCTCATCCATTATGTGTAAAGGCGGGCCGCTTCGTTAAGTGTCTAACAAATCGAGCAATAGCAGTGAGTAGCACAAAAAAGACCTAAATGATGAAATGAAGCAGATAGCAGAAGCGTCGGTGTAAAACAGCTATTCTATAAAATTCATAAGGAAGATGAGAAAAGGTGAAAAGCAAAATAAAAATAATGGTGAAACTAGTAGTGATAACAGAATTAAGAGAGAATATAAGGTAACTACTGTAGTTTCATCATATAAGGAGGGGACATCTGACACCCTCCCTACGTATGATACTCAATAGCGCAGGAATTAGGGTGACATTCAAACCTACAAACTCACTCAGAGACAAACTTTGTGGGTTCAAGGACCCTGTTGGTTGACCCAATTGTACAAAACAATATAATCTACAAAATACCTTGCAGTGACTGTGAGTTAAGTCAACAACTACATACGTCAAACTATTAGGTCGGTGATAATCAGATTGTCGGAACACAAGAATTTAACTAAGGTTAGAATGATTGGTACCAAGGAGAAAAGTAATTTAGAAAAATACCCAGCGCTACATAGCACTGCATTTATTAACACACAACCACACAATAGGGTGGGGAGAGAGATTGATTACTCAATCCTTGTTCATCGAGTCTACACACCCAACACATGCAATAAAACTGACTCAACGCAAATACCAGAGATGTGCATGGAAGATATTATTACCACCATAATGGATAAGAATTTATTTTGATAAATCACACAGTGTAGTACAGTTATATTAACTGATGACGTTTCGAGCACAAACTATTGCTCATAATCATATCAAGTTACTCACACAAATTCTTCCCTTCATTTATATACATGTGTGGAATCGACTAGATATTGGAATAAAATTCAATATGAGATGATGTACATTCAGAAATAATAGTACGAGTGTTATTAATCCATTGCAATTAGATGGGAAATACAACGAGTGTTTTTACAGTCATAATAAGTTGATTGTTAGAATGTTTTGATGTGTTTGAATGGAAATAGAATACAATTTAAGATTATTTATTATCCGCTTCTGATTTGACTGGTGGCAATAATACGAGTGTTATTAATCCATTGCAATTAGATGGGAATTACGACGAGTGTTTTTATAGTCATAATAAGTTGATTCTTAGAATGTTATGATGTGCTTGCATGGAAATAGAATTTTAAGACTATTTATCTTCTTCTGATTTGACTGGCGGTAATAATATCTTCCATATTTCTGGTATTTGCATTGAGTCACTTCTGTTGCATGTGTTGGGTGTAGACTCGATGAATAAGGATTCCGTAATCAACCTCTCTTTCCACCTAAGTATATTACTTTTTAGAATTTTAACCCTATCCCACCCTATTGTGTGGTTGTTTGTTATTGCGTGAAGTGCAATAGCTGAGCTTTTTTCTAAATTACTTATCTTTTCAGGGTTAATCATTTTCCCTTTAGCTAAATTCTTATGTTCTGATAATCTGACTATCCCTGACCTACTAGTTTGACCTATGTAATTGACTTCACAGTCATTGCAAGGTATTTTATAAATTATATTATTTTGTTTAATGGGGTCCAACGGGTCCTTTAACCTACAAAGTTTGTCTCTGAGTGAGTTTGTTGGTTTGAATGCCACCCTAATTCCTGCTTTATTTAGAATCCTACGTATGGCCTCAGATGTCCCCTCCTTATATGGTATAACAGTAGAAGACTTATATTCTCTCTTATTTATGTTATTACTACTTCACACAGTGTAGTACAGTTATATTAACTGATGACGTTTCGAGCACAAACTATTGCTCATAATCATATCAAGTTACTCACACAAATCAACTCACACACAATCAACTTATTATGACTGTAAAAACACTCGTTGTATTTCCCATCTAATTGCAATGGATTAATAACACTCGTACTATTATTTCTGAATGTACATCATCTCATATTGAATTTTATTCCAATATCTAGTCGATTCCACACATGTATATAAATGAAGGGAAGAATTTGTGTGAGTAACTTGATATGATTATGAGCAATAGTTTGTGCTCGAAACGTCATCAGTTAATATAACTGTACTACACTGTGTGATTTATCAAAATAAATTCTTATCCATTATGGAATTATACTCTACCACAGTGCCCAAGTTTTATACTTATATCATTATTACCGCCAGTCAGTCAGTCAAATCAGAGGAGGATAATAAATATTCTTCAAATTCTATTTCAATTCACATACATTATAACATTCTATCAAGTTACTTATTTTTACTATAAAAACATATTAATTCCCATCTTATTGTATTTTCTTGATAACACTAATATTCGTTCCGAATGTACTCTGTCTTATACCGATCTAAATTCAAATGTGTAATCACCAGTTTTTACTCATGTATATAAATGAAGCAAGAAAGTTGTGTGAGTAGTGACTTGATATGATTATGAGCAGCAATAATTTGTGCTCGGAACGTGGTCATCAGTAAATATTACTACTGTATAACACCGCTGTGTGATTTATCAAAGCAAAATCTTATGTGTAATGGAATTATACTCTACCACAGTGTTCAATTTTTTTATACTCATATCAATAGTTGCAACTCTATTTGCTTTGATAAGAAAATTTTTATAAATACCAAGATAAAATAGTAAATATTCAAAGATAGTTTGAGAAGAAATATGGAAGAGTTCATAAATAAATTAAGTATTAGGGCAGTTTTCGAAAAATACTTTTTATTGCTCAAGTATCTTTAAGAAGATATAGAAAGGATTAAATGTCCAATAATAATGAGCTAACATGGGCAAAATTTTTCTTTAATTTAAAGCCATGTATGTATATGTATGCATTTAATCTACAACCTCGAAGTATTTTCAGCTTCAATCTCGGTGGGTTGGGAAGAAACCTTAGAAAAACAACTACTCTTAACCGTCAGATGCATAATGAGACTAAACTGACCATACTAATTCTTTGCATACTTAACCTTCCTCATTATTGCCCACCCGTAAGATATTATCAGACTAAAATCTACTGGAAACCATTCCTTCCCAGTCTCCTCTATAATACATCTATTTAAGTAAAACAAAAAAGGTATAATATGCACTCATTTAGACAAGAAGAACTTACATCCCAGTCCAATAGTTTACCAAATGAAGGATTGAGAAACGTTCTAATGCCGTAAAATGCATTTTCCAGTGTTAATCCCCTAATAAGTAGAATGGCGATAGCAAGATATGGTACGCCTGCTGTTATCCAAGAAACCTAATATGAAGGCAAAATAAAAGAGAAGAAAACTCATCAGTATGGGATTATTTTAATTGTGATATATTGTTTAAAATCAAAAAAGTTTGTAAATAGAGTAACACATATCTGTTATTATGTCATTATAGGTAGGCAAACATTATTAACCAGGCTTAACATTACTGTTTTTAAAGGGCATTTATTTCGACGACTTTGAGTAGGTAAAAGAGTGTAAATATTGAGGGAATGGATATCCACGGAACTTTATCAAAAGAAATCTACCCCCAGGCCAACCTACTAAATCGAAAGCCCTCAAGGAAAACACAAAGAATATCGCCCCACCACATATATAGGACATCTCAGAAATCACTGCAAGACTCTTCAAACCATCAAGAATTGATGTTGTACACAAACCAACAGAATCACTTCACTCAGCTGGTTCTGTGTCAACTAAAAGACTCAACAACGAAAGAAGATAAAACCAACATCATGTACAAAATAAATTATAACAACTGCAAAAAATACTATATTAGCCAAACTGGACGTTCTCATAGCCTTCTTTGCATCCATGAACATAAACTAACCGTCAAAAGACATGACATCCACTCCTTCATATCATTGCATACAGACAACCACGGACATCAATTCGACTTGGACAACCACCGTTCAAATATTAGACGGAAGAAACACCAAGAATGCTAGAGAATTTTTAGAAGCCTGGCCTCGTATTCCACTGAATCGTCAATTAATAATGGACACATCGAGACAGACAAAATTTCCCAATCGATAAGAAGGAAATCTCACACACATAGGGTTAATGTTCAAGTCAAGGAAACAATCAGTTCCAATACAAGTAGCCTAGAGGGTTTGAAATCACACAAATCAACCGATCACGTTCAAGGTCACCCGTCAAGAGAGATGACTAACAAACTCGTGGAGAAATCTAAAAGCTCACTTCAGCAAATTGAAGTATGAGCTGAATATGTTGCCTAGTCGGGCGGACAATGAAGGCTCTGCAAATAAATCATCCCGCTCAGAGAAGACAGCTATATCAAAAATGAGGGAGGTGCAATACTCCACATAAATCTGAGGAATATAAATATATAAGGAAAGTGTTGATCTAAATAAGATCCTAAATATTTCTCACCGACGATAAATTTTGTTCTAGAACGTGAGTCGGGAAAAACACTTATTCTCAGGCGTTTAGCTTTCATAAGGAACTCATGGATCTGTAGAGAAGTTGTCTGATGGCAAACTGATTTGGAAGGAGCATTTGACTTGCTTTACACCTATGTTAGGTATTTTAGTATAAAGAGAAACCTCATGAAATCCCTTTTCACGAGAATAAGTCGTACATGAATAGAGGACCTAGTAGGTGGAGAACTGAAGTCTTTTTGGTTGGTTATCCACGAGAAGTCATCAACAAAATTTATGCAAAGTAAGATAGATAATCCTAAAAATGTAGAAAGTTAGTTTTTAACCTCGAAATTCAAAGGTGACACAACAACTGAGATTCTTCAAAGCAGATTATCAAGAGCAGTTCACAGAAAATTCCTCTCCTTATTGCTACGTCTCACCTTCTGTGACTAACGCCTTATTTATCGAAACTGTCATAGACAATCTCCCACTGTTGACAACATCCTTGTGCCTGCTTCGGTGTGGCGAAGGACGTAGGTCGTGTAGGTAGGATGTTGTATAGATGTGCATAAGAACCTTTCTCAAAATGGTTGTCGAAAGGAGAAATTAGACGGTCCAGTAGCTCAACTCTTGGGCACCTTGTTTTCATGAATTGTTTCACATCAATGGAAAAATCTTTCAGACTGATATATACAATGAGGACAAGTCGTTCGAAGGCTTTTAGGCGATATCTTCTGTCCACAGCAGAAGCGCCTGCTTTACACCGCGAAAACCATGAATTGTGTATACAGAAGAGGTTATGGAAACTACTATACCACTCCATAACAAATATCAAGTGGACCATTTTAATGTATCACTCTTCACCACAGCATATGTATATATATATACGTATATAAAATGGTGTAAGGGAAGAGAATTAAAGCCAACCAAAATTAATGATCACCAGTCTGTAAAAGCAAATGTAATTGCAAAGCTGCGTTAATTCACCTGTACAGTATGTATTGGCTGAAGGGCCTTAGGAACTGATTACCTGGTTATAAAATAAGTACTTAAAAATAGCTGGTATCGATAGTAAGGAAGTTTAAGAATGGATAACAAGTCGTTGTTAACTTTCTTTCAGTATGACAAGACTTTGGCGCTTAATATGCAGAACAATATATCTCTGGTAATTACCAGCTGATAAGAGATGCCTAATTATCCTTCAGCTATGCTAATATGTGGATGAACATAAGATGACCGATTGAAAAAGTTGTTAAATAAGAGTTTTGTTCATTATGCGTCGGTGGTGCAGAAATAAAGTGCTCGCCATCCACTTACTTGGTCTGAGGTTCAGTCGTTAACCGACGCACACCTAGACCTCGCTTAGCTGCTGGTAATCCCTATAAATAGGGAAGGTAGGACGTGAGGCTAGTTACCCCACGCCGTAAAAATGAAACCACTGCTATCAAAGCTTCAAAGCCGAAGCCTGAAGACCTATGTTCTACTGGGAGAGCGAAGGAATAAGATATTTAAAAGAGCAGTTTGTTTTTTATACTTATTAGTCAAGACTGACTAACTGGCTGACCAAAATCCCAAACGGAATGATGTTTTCCGAGGAGAAGATAGTGAAGTATAATAGGAAACTAATGGTTTGCTGGAAATAATGATCAGTACATTTATACTGAGAATCAAACAAAATTCATGCTACTGCCATACGTCTATCTTACCACTTAATAGCACACTTGTTCTAACAGGGATTCACTCACACAGTGTTATACAGTAATATTAACTGATGACGACGTTTCGAGCACAAACTATTGTTGCTCATAATCATATCAAGTCACTCACACAACTTTTTACTTCATTTATATAAAGAACTGGTCAAAAGTAATTTTACCATATAAGGAGGAGACATCTGAGACCCTACGTAGGATTTTCAATAAAGCAGGAATTAGACTGGCATTCAAACCTACAAACTCACTAACTCAGAGACAAGCTCTGTAGGCTAAAAGACCTGGTGGATCCAATTAAACAAAATAATATAATTTACAAAATACCTTGCAGTGACTGTGAGTTAAGTCAGCTATATAAGTCAAACTAGTAGGTCGGGAGTAGTCAAATTGTCGGAATATACGAATTTAGCTAAGGTTAGAATGATTGATCATAAGAAGATAAGTAACTTAGAAAAAAACTCAGCATTACATTGCACTGCATGTATTAACACACAACCACACAATAAGGTGGGAGAGGGTTAAAATTCTAAGAAGTAATCTAGGTAGGTGGAGAGAGAGATTGATTACTGAATCCTGGTTCATTGATTCTACACCCAACATATCCAACAGAAATGACTCAACGCAAATACCAAAGATATGCATGGAAGATATTATTACCACCAGTCAGTCAAATCAGAGGAGGATAATAAATAATCTTAAAATTCTATTTCAGTTCACATACATTATAACATTCTATCAAGTTACTTATTTTTACTATAAGTTTCGTTTTTTTTGTTGATAACACTAATATTCGTTCCGAATGTACTCTATCTTATACTGATTTTTATTCAAATGTCTCATAAATGAAGCAAGCAAGTTGTGTGAGTAGTGCCTTGAAATGATTATATGACTAGCAGTGATAACTTGTGTTCAAAACGTGGTCATCACTAAATATTACTCTAAAACACCACTGTGTGATTTTATCAAAATAAAATCTTATCCATAATGTAGTTATGCTATACCACAGTGCACAAGTTTTATACATGTATCAAGGGATTCACTCACCTTCTCCAATACTTTAACTCCTTTGAACAGTGATAGAAAGAGAAGTAGATTTATGAGGAATAAACAACCACAAACTTCCCATTGAATGGAACCGTAATCATTGAATCCAGAACTTTTATCGACACCAAGCATTCGAATCCTGAAACAAGATAAAACATATCTCATATAGCATTTTCAGTATTTTATGCATATCATGATAGTTAATGTAGCTGTTTAACTCTGATATAAGAAAATCACAAACAAATATCAAATTATATTCTGGAAACTGTCGATTTGAATTCACCTTCTGGAAGATGTATTCGTAGGAGTTGAATATTATCAACGTTATATACTTTTGAAATAAATTTTGATACCATTCCATAGTGATTAAGAGTTAAATCTAGGATACATGCTAGCCTATTCCGAATATATCACGGAACTATATCTGCTTAACAATATTGGTATTTGTGTACAACTTGGGCACTGTGATAGTAAGCAATTCCATATTGGTTTATGAATTAGATATGTCACACAGTGAGTGAAACAGTATTATTTACTGGATCATAATGTTTCGAACACAATTTATTATCGTTTATAATCATATCAATTATAATCAAACGACTTCAAAACTTGAGTTTTGTAACTTTCTTTATACTTTCATATTTGTTGTAGGGGTAGTAGAGTTTTCCAGATGTCTGGGTGGACAGGTGTTGAGTCATTCCTATTACACGTGTTTGCAGTTGATTCGATAAACAAAGCCTCTGTTATCAATCTCTCCCTCCACCCTGTTGTTACATCAGATTTTAAAACTGTCATCTTATCCCATCCTATTACGTGGTTGTGTTTAATTGCATGTAATGAGTGGTATAGCTGAACTATTCTCTAGATTTCTTATCTTATTTGGGTCAACTAGTCTAGGTTTTGTCAGGTTTTCATGCTTGGCTAGTCTGACTGCACCTGTTCTACTACTTTGACCTATGTATTTGGCCTAATAATCATTCAAATAGAGCATTAGATAAACTGAATTCTTTTGTTTTATTGGCTCCACAGAATCCTTTAACCGACAAAGCATGTTTCGAATTGAGTTTGTGGGTTTGAATGCCGGTCACTTTTATTCCTGCCTTGTTAGGAATTCTGTGTAAGGTTTCCGAGGTTCCTTCTTTGTATAAAGTACTACTGATTGCTTATATTCCCCATTGTTGATGTTGTCATTATGTTGCGCATGTTTGACATGCATGTCGTGATTAATATTATTATTATTTATTTTATTTTTACATTTTTCTACATACTTTCTGATTAATTTATTAGGGTAATTATTAAGTTTCAAAGCTTCTCTTATATGCCTCACTTCTTGTCTTAAATTTTCCTCAGTACTACTTAGTCGTTGTGCTCTATTGCTTAAACATTTCACCAATCCTATTTTTACTGACATAGGATGGGATGTCATGCAGTAAATAATACTGTTTCACTGTGTGATATATCTAATATGCAAACTAATATGGAATAACAATATTGGTGTTTATGTAATCAGTCCATTCAAATAAACAGTTATGTTTAATGGGTTACTAAGTTTTGGCCAAGCCATTACTGATTCGAGTTGTGTGTCATTAGAAATGCAATCTTCGTCAGATGGTTTAAAGAGATCTGAGTGATATCTTCATGAAACAAAATCGGTTGGAGAGTCATTAAAAATCAGGGAGTATTGGATAAGGTGAAACATCGGTCTATCAGAAGGAAATGAAGTTTATGAACTTCCTTGTGTTTAGTCATAAGGTCATGAGAAGAACGATGTTTTAACATAAGTTATAGTAACATTAAAGAAAATCTATTTATTTTCTAGAGTTGGTTTGTAAGGATTAAATTTTTTTTTGCGAGTTTGAGCAAGGATTGATATCAGTTAGAGAACCATTGAAAACCAGCACTGCAGTACCGGAAAGCCGTTTCATCCGTGTTTCGGAATCACCGGCAGTACGCACCTACCGCAGAGGGTTCGAACCTAGGATCTTCCGGCTACAAAGCTAGTTCGAGTACCATTCAGGCACTGGGACACGATTCAGTGGCTTACCCATGAATTCTAACTTCTGCCAGTTCGTGATTTAGTGCGACCCCAACCAATGTCGTCGGTGGGACATCTATCCTCACACTTGACTAGTTGGACCTCACTGGTCACGACTTCTCACTAGAACTCCAGGAAACTCTGTCCTGTAGCAAATCACTAGCGACCAGTGAGGTCCAACTAGTGAGGATGGATTTCCCAACGATGACATTGGTTGGTGGTCTCGCTAAATCACGAATTGGTAGAAGTTAGAATTCATGGACTGGACATTGAATCGGGTCCCGGTGGTGGCTGAATGGTATACAAGCTTGCCTTGTAGCCGAAAGGTTCTGGGTTCAAACCTTAGTGGGTGCGTTCTGCCGATGACTCCTAAACATGAATGAAACAGCTGTCCAGTACTCCAGTGCTGATTTTCAATGGTTCTCTAACCGATATCAATCCTTGGTCAAACTCGTAAAAAGTCTATATACTTTGGTATTATTTATTTTCTATGTCATTACTTTACGCTCCAAATCGAACATTAGGCTTTAGACCAGAGCTTCTGAAGTCTCAGTAGCAGTGGTTTTATTTTTACTGGATGGGATGGCTCTGCCCCCAACCTCCCCTCTTTACTGGGCGTACTGCCAGCTTAGTGACGTTAGTATTGCGTCGGCCAGGAAATCGAATCCCAAGCCACATCATAAAGATGAGAAATGATTGTTTTTATCTTCGAGTTGAAAAAGCAGTTCACCTAGTGAAATTAGTACTTCAAGATAGCAAGTACCTTTAACGTCAATGCCAGAGTGGAAGTTTTTCTTAACTACTGCTTCACGTATTCGATAATTCTTACTAGTTTCAACATAACATGTTCAACATTTGGTTACAGGATTTCATCATGAGCTGATATTAGTTAGAGAACCAGTATTGTACAGCTGTTTCGTCCTAGTTTGGGACTCTTCATCTGTACGCACCCATTTAGTTTCGAACCCAGGACCTTCTGATCACAAGGCGAACCAGCTCATAGACCATTAAGCCACTGGAACCCGATCGAATGGCTCGTGCATGGATTCTAGCCTCTGTCAGTTCACGATATAACGTGGTGAGTATTTGTCCTCACAACCGACCTGCTGCACTCTACTGGTCACGACTTCCTGGTGGGTGCCTACTGTGAATAGTCCTAAACTAGGACGCGGGAAGCAACTGTCCAGTACTCCTAGCTGGTTTTTCAATGGTTCTTTAACCAATTTCAGCTCATGATGAAATCCTGGAACCAATCAATCAAATCACTACAAACCAATACTTGAATATTGAGTATTTGTTGGCCAGGTTAAAAATAGCCAAACTATTTTACAGCCTCAAGTAAATACCATTTTAGAACTGTGTATCAGACTGCTTTCAGATAAAATTTGATATAATTATGTCTCCAGTATGATGGCTCACAACTTTGCTACTTGTTAACAGCAAAGCATACTGTTCTCTCATATTTCAAATCTTGCAACTTCTAATTTTTGGTGTATTAAAAGTTAGGAACTGAGCACCATATTATTTTAGAGCTGTGTGCATGAAAGTATAGTAGAAATATGCAATTTGGTGAGCGTTTTGAAGCATTTAAATGAAGATTATTTGCTTTCTGATATCATTAATAGTAATATTTGAAACTATAGAGTCTTCGAGGTGAGTTGTCCGCAACTGCAAACTACCTTTCACATGAGAGTGATTTCTGGCTGACTTACTCCTAAACCTCTCTAAGTCAGTAGTAAGCTCGGCAAAAAGGGAAGGTTTGGCATCAGACTGGCAACCGCACTGCCACTGAAACTTCAGAGACCAAATTTAAAGCTCTATGTTCCACTCGCCCTCGGTGGTAGAGCGTAGAATGCTCGCTGGGGTTCAATTCTCCGCTGACGCACTCCTTGACCTCACTAAGCCAGTAATGAGGCTGGTAAAGAGGGAGCGTTGGGCATGAGGCTAGCAACCTCATCCCGTAAAATGAATACCACTGCTATCGAAACTTCAAGTTAGAGGCTTGAAGCCCTATGTTCCAGTGAGAACGTAACGGAATCATCATGTCATGTTCCACTCAGAAAGCAAAGGAATAAAATGTAAAACAAAAAAAACTCATGGCTATATTTTTCTCCAAAAACGTCTTTTCAAACTTACTCAAAAAACTCTCTAGCTGCAGTTGCTACAGATGAATTTACAAGTGAAATGTTACGCCTGGACTGTTCTTGACAGTGTATAGTATTCCACCAATGATTACACTTTTCCCACGGTAACTCAGGTATAAACGATGCGAAGAAGTAGAAAAATGACCAAGCTATAATTACATTATAATAAAGGCTGGCAAAAAATATCAGGACAACTGAAGCCCATCCAATGCCTGAAAAATATATGAAGAAAACAAAAAATATGCGCATAGAGTTGAATTGAAATTCTCATTGCTTTAATATCAGTCTCTGAGTAGGTCAAGCAATTCACGATAAGTAAGGTGAAGATGATTTCTCATCTTCTTGCAATTTAAAATTCAGAACGTAACACCTGAAACAACAAACTTATTTTAACAGACTAATGAATTGTGAAATTAATTTAGCCAAGATCAAATCACATACAATGATTCCCTTTTATAAATTTGAACAAAGAAAGAAGAAACATTGGCGCAGAATAATCTGGATCCATTTTATTTCGTTAGTTCTCATCTTCTGCGTACAACCTGAATTCTTTAATAAAATAAAAATAAGAAGTGTACAATTTCAACAAACCTTTGTCCATTAGAAAGCATAGTGTCAGAGCGTCATAGTAAAATAAGGCGTTGCGATTTACTGGGTGTCTAAAGTGTTACGACATATATATGTATGGTTTCTTGAAAAGCATTAATTAACAGTTGTGTTGTTGAGGTGGTAACAAAAGAAAATTAGTAATAGTTACATAATTAGATAAAAGAAGATCAAAATTTCGGTGCACATGAGGTCAGATGAGAAGTTGATGGTGTAATACAGTGAGCAAAACTCAGATCGAGAAAAATTATCCCTTAAGAGAGTCAAGCGAAAAATAAAGGGGGGGGGGGGAATGAAAAGATAAGTTAACAAAATTAACAAAATTAGAAAACAGAGTTACCGAGAAGTGAGTCACTAGGGTAATTAAAGTTCAAAAATGGATTCTTTTTGGACACATAAATCAGGCTTCTATCGTTTTATTGCTATAGCTTCAGCAAACCTGAGAAGACTTGAGATACTTTGTCTGTTAATTATTTTTAATGATTCCACCACATCTACTCGGTGTCCTGTGTCAATCAGGTGTTTAGCGATTGAAAAGCTTAAACAACCCGGTCCCTTTATAACCGGAGGCTCCTTGGCACATGTTCGCAGAATCTGAAGTAGGCCCTCCTCTCTCTTCTTCCAATGTAACTGCTCTCACAGATATATGTGAATTGATATACGCAGTCGGAGGTAACATGTGAGGGGTACTTGTCAATTTTTGGCTGCACCAGTGAGGAGGTTGTTCGGGATAGAGAGACTAATAACGCTGCAGGATACGTCCTAGACAGGGCTGCGCTTAATCTTTTATTTACCATTCTCATAATGTCGTCGCCCTTGTAGTCAAGTTTGATGAAAATAGGTTTCTTACTGACTGTAGCTGTATCAAGCTTCTTGAGTTCATTCTTGCCATATTTGTTAATGAAACTTTGTAGGTAACCATTTTATTTCAAGCATTTTTCAAGAAGCATTAGTCCACTGTCTAGTTTGTTTGGTGAACATATTCTCTTAGCTCTAGAGAAAAGCGGTTTTACCAGCGTTCGTTTGTATCTCACTGGACAGGAGGTGTTGTAATTCAAGTAAAGACCTCTCCATGTGTCTTCACGATATACAGATCTTTCGAGTGTCCCGTCGTATTTTCTCTCCAACTTTACGTCCAAAAAGTGGAATTTTTCATCATCTTCATGCCCCATCATGAAAGTGATGCTTTTGTGTCCACTGTTGAAAGAGTCTAATAGAGACGAAGCGTGATTCAAATCATTGCATACAATGAATGTGTCATCAACGTCTCTATAGTAGGTTGTTGTTTCGCCAACTGGACACTTGAGCTTTGTCTGTTCCAGACTGGCCATAAAATAATCAGCTAATATCGGGCCCAGTGGACTGCCTATTACCACACCATCAACCTAGCGATACATTTTGTTGTAAAACTGGAATTGTATATCATTAGTAGATAACACGAGAGGCTGCTTTAATTCCAGTTTTGTTTGAGGAAGAAGATCAGAGTGTTGACAGATGATATCCAATGTCTCATGCAGAGGGATCTGCGTGAATAGAGAAGTCACATCGAAGAAAACCATGATTTTGTCATGTACATTGAGTTGATTTACCTCTTCAAAAAACTGGAATGAGTCTTTTAGAGTATGTTTAGCTAGACGTTGTCTGACAGGTTCTAACCTATCGGCTAACCAGCGAGCAACTTTGTGAAAGGGTGAATTCACCATTGAGAGTATTGGTCTCACTGGGCAATTCTTTTTATGTATTTTCGGCAGACCATTAATATATGGTAGACGAGACCTAGTGGGTTTTAACTCATTGTACGCATGATTGTCAATCATTTTCTTTTTCAATAGCTTTCTGAGTACTTTTGTGACTTTCTTTACGGCCGAATCTGTCATATCCTTTTTGCAGTTATCAATCCTAAATTTCGAAGTGTCATTCAGAATAGACTCCATTTTTTGGACATATTCAGCCTTGTTCATCACTACCACGCCTGAATCTTTGTCAGGTTGCAGTATGACGATATCTTCATTGTTGAGCAGACGTTTAATTGCTTTTCGGTGTTCTTTCGTCATGATTCTAGACTCTTAAATTGGTGAGCATAGGTACTGGTCAAAGATAACAACTAGTCTTGATTTGAGCCAACGTTTCTTATCCTTACTAACGGGATGCAAGTCGTTTAACTGGTTGAATAAATTCTCGAATTGGGCTTCTGTGTCTATTTTATTCACAACTCGGAACTTGAAACCATTTTGCTTTAGCTTTACACTTAACTGACTGATAGCATATTTTTCGGGGTTTTCCGGGAAGCCTTCATATAATTGTTCCTTTACCAATGTCTTCAATAGGGTCATGAAGAAGTTTGTTCAACAAAATTTTGAAGGAAACATAGACTGACCGGATATACTGTTAGGAGGCAGTTAAGTGACGTCTTACGCCATGTTATCGCTCGAGTGGAACGCAGGTGAGAAATGGCAAGTTGGACAAGGGTCCGAGGGTGACTTGGAGGAGATCGTGTGAGGCGTGCGGGAAGGACGAAAGCTTATGGGCAGTCATGCAGCTAGCTAAACAGGACTACTGTTGAAGTCCTATGTTTCACTCCGAACCTAAGGGAATCCTACTAACAGTGAGGTTATGCTTAAGGTACCAGATTCAATTAAGTCAACTTGTGGTATCAACCCAAGAGAAGTGGGGCGAGATACTATTCCAAGTCTAGTTTCATCCTCCTTAGAAATTCGCCTTATCTATCATGAAATTGAAGAAAACTTAATGAATGTTCACCTGCTTTTGGGTTAACGAGGATTATGAAAGGGTATTTTACACAGAAGGGGAAACTCAATGATACTTTTAGCCAGTATTGCTAAACATATTTAGCCCGCTAATCAAACGTTTTGCTAATGAAATCCGTCAAAAAGTAATTTTACTCTTAAAGTACGGCTTTACTTTCCGTCGGCTTACTAAATAAGTGGCTAATTCATAGGACATTGTTATTTATGAATGCATAAGAAGTCCTCCAGGTAATTGTAAACTTCATTATCACTCTTGATTTTCAATTAGTTACGAAGCTTTCTGAATTGATCTTCCATTTTATCTATTTATTCTCCGTAGGAACAAACAGAAGGACTGTTGTAGCAAATGGCAAAATCTACTTTTTACAGCAAATTCATTTGTACATCGCCAGTTACTAGAAGTTATAATTGATGGGGCAGTGAATTCCATCCTAGTGACGGGATGGTGAAAGAGTTCACCTTGCAGTCTGAGAGTCTTAGGTTCAAACCTTGGTGGTGCCATGAGTGCACACGTCTGAAGAGTCCCAATGTAGGACGTTACAACTGTCCAACACTGCCTAATGATTTTTAAGTGGTTCCCTAATCGAAGTCAATTGCTGATCAAACTCGTAATAGAATGCAGTTATAAAAAAAGAACAAGGGAAATAGACAAGTCATTGAGGTGTTGAACAAACATCTTTATATAATGACGTAATAATATAGTCAGAAGCCAACTCGCTATGGCAACCGGAACGAACAAAAAGTGGTTGTAGGCATCCTATCTATTCGTATTCATTAATTATTTACTCGCTTAACTGCTGTTAAGATACTGAAACGGCACAAAAGTTTTCAGTGCACACTAGCGAAAATAGGTGTTATTGATTTCACTGGCTTAGAGATATTTTACATGATAGAAAAATGTTATTCGATATGACATACAGTATTTTTTGATTGATAAAGTTTAGAGCATAATTTAACTGTTCATAATCACAATAAGGTACTCACATAACCTTTGGATTTTGTTTAAAAATGAGTATCATTTCTCATCCTTTTATTTTATTAGTAGTAATACTTTTCGTAATAGCAGCATAGGCATTAGTTAGACATCACTGGAAACCAGGAAGCACTGGACACTTGTTTTGTCCTAGTTTGGGGCTCTTCACAGTGCGCATCCACTACCCCATCAGGAATCGAACCCATGACCTTCAAGTTATGAGACCGTGCTCGTTAGCCATTCAACCACTTGAGCTGAAATTCGACGAACTGTGAATTCTAACCAGGGTGGAAATCAGAGTGGCATTTAAATTCACAGGTTAAAGAATTCCGCTGACCTGATTAGACCTTCCACTGACTTTGAAGTCATTTACTTAAGTTATAACAGATGATTGCGGTAATGAAGATCATAAAATTAGAAATCATTATCTCAGAACCTTAGATTATCGAACCAACTCCAGACAGGTGCAGTAGGATGTCATCTATTTTTTTTTTTGATTTACAGCTTGATTCCACACAGTACTTTTGGTAGAAGTATGGAATTTTCAACATGAATATCGGTAGCCCAAATTTTGCAGGCCGACCATAGATATCGGGTGTGCGTCGGCAGGGGATCGAACCCCGGACCATGTGCATGGTCGGCGAGAGTCCTAACCACTGTGCCACCGACGCACACAATTTGTTTTATTATTCCACATTTTCCTAGTAAGAAGTCGTCCGTTCTCTACTGGAAACCACAGTAATTCAACCGAGGGCTTTTGGCGAAGACTGCACAACAGGTTAAGAGGGATAAACGATTCACAAAAACAGCTCATCTTCAGTCACCTTGGTGAATACATGTAGAGAAAATTGTCTAAATTCAAAAC